TAAACTGCACTTATAATATTGCTTCAGGTTTATGAAGTGGTATCACCGATTAGGTAGAGATATCTGTGTCACGAAGCTGAGAAGAACCATGTGGAAAGACCGGAATGGTATGCAGCTGCTCTTGCAGGGCTAAGTAATCAACAGTCCTGAGTTCCACCTTCTGTCCTGGTCTTTTAGGATTTTTACTCCCCCGAGATCAGAACAGCAAAAAATGTTTTGGAGTAATGAGGAGGTTTGGATATTGAGCCTCCAGGGATACAGAGACTGCAAATAGTATCCCTGTGGCATCTCACTTAAGAGTCCTTGCCCTGTAAGGAGGTAGAATGCATAAACCTCTTTCCAGAGATGACCGGTTTTGCCTGGGAGCATAGTGCTTCACTTCTACCCTCCGTCCTTCCTGAGGATAGATCTTCCATCTTCTACCTTCAGAGTAGATGTCAAGCATCATTCCTCACAGATGGCAGCCAGGTAACGTAATGATCCCTAGCTAATGTTTGGAAAGCAGGGCACGTTTGTTACAAGAGGTCCATCCAAGGGGAAGTGCATACAGAGTACATGCAGGAAATGATTGGAACCAAGTCTTACATGTGAATCTTGCTTACATGGGATTTCCTTGTGAGGTTTCCTTATATCTTTGCACATATAGCAAGGAGTTCTCATTCTAATATATTCCTATGTCTGTACTTGTACAACCCCAATAATAATTTTCCTGTTGAGCAATAACTTAACTTTATCAAACAAGAAGATGGTCACAAAATCCTCTGATATTTATTTGCATTTATTTATCATGGTGGTAGAGGAAGGTTTGTCTGTTTCACCTTGTCTTCCTTGTTCATAGTACATCTTTGCATTATCTCTATTGCCTGGTCTGATCTCTGGGGAAGGAAATGGAGACCCATACTGACTTATAAGGCTGCCTCTGAGTCTACTTCTATTTATTAAAATACTAAACAGTTAAAATGATCATAAGAGCACAGATCAATTGATTAAAAATTATCATTCCCATCCCTTTCCACAATAAATAAATGTTCATGCTCTGTAGTATCAGCTTCAGGTACTTTTTCTCCTTTCTTAAATAATCAAATAATATGCATACATAGGCACCGCTTTTGAATTCCCTACATTCCTCTTCTTGCTTCCCCAAGATAACGTCTGCTTCTGGCGATGCTGCTGTTGCTGCTGTTCCAGGATCACACATTTCATTGCCTTGTCGCCCCATTTCTCCATCAGAGTCATCAACAATAGAGAACCCAGAAACCACACCAGTGTTTCAAAATTTCTTCTCCTTGGATTGACAGAGGATCCAGACCTGCAGCCCCTTCTGTTCAGCCTGTTCCTGACCATGTACCTGGTCACTGTCCTTGGAAACCTGCTCATCGTCCTGGCTGTCAGCTCTGACTCCCACCTGCACTCCCCCATGTACTTCTTTCTTTCCAATCTGTCCTTTGCTGACATCTGCTTAAGCACAGCCACCATCCCAAAGATGCTGGTGAACATCCACATGCAGAATCAGAGCATCTCTTACACAGGCTGCCTCAGCCAGATTTTCTTTGTCGTTGGTTTTGCTGGTTTGGAAAATTTCCTTCTCGCAGCAATGGCCTATGACCGCTATGTGGCCATTTGTCACCCACTGAGGTATACGGTCGTCATGAACCCCTGCTTCTGTGGCCTGCTCATTCTACTTTCCTTCTTTATTAATGTGGTGGACGCCCTGCTCCACAGTCTGATGGTTTTGCAGCTTTCCTTCTGCACAGACCTGGAAATCCCTCACTTCTTCTGTGAACTTGCTGAGGTCCTCAAGCTTGCCTGTTCTAGTACCCTCATCAATAACATCCTGTTATATTTTGTGGTTGGCGTATATGGTGGTGTTCCTCTCTCTGGGATCATATTCTCTTACACTCAGATTGCCTCCTCTGTTTTGAGAATACCATCAGCTGGTGGCAAGTATAAAGCTTTTTCCACCTGTGGGTCTCACCTCTCAGTTGTTTCCCTATTCTATGGGACAGGCTTGGGTGTGAACATCCTTTCAGTATTTACACACTCTTCCAGGAAGACAGCAGTAGCCTCAGTGATGTACATTGTGTTCCCTCAAATGATGAATCCTTTTATCTACAGCCTGAGGAACAGGGACATAAAGGTAAGCTTGAGAAAACTCACACGTAAAATATTTCTTTTTTATTAATTTTGGTACCTGTGACAATACACTAATTATTAAGACCTGTCTGTAGTAAACTCTTCCTTTGGGTCAGCATTAGCACCAACACACTCAGTTTCATCATCTATAAAATGGGATAATTATATTTTCTCAGTGGATTTAGATGATGTGAGACATTTGAACATGATGGGTGAAGAAGCTTCTGATGCTAATAATTAAAACAATCTCAGACACTAATATGCTCAAAAAATACAGAGAGATATCTCTCCTTAGAAGGCCTTCAGAGGTGGGGGATGTACAGGAACAGGACAAGAGGATTTCATTTATCCTGCGTGTGGCAGCTTAATCCCAGGACTGCTTTCCCTTATGGTCTTCAGATGCTGTAGCAGATGTCAATGTAATACCAAACGAGATGCCAGAGAGAAAGCTTACTGTCCTTTAGGGACTATTTTTTTTATAGAGTTTTTGATGGAGTCATCGGAAGACATACCTTCTTTAGTGTGTTAGAGGGTAGTCCCCAAAATAATATTTCCATGTCATGATTCTTGGAACTTGTGGATATTACTGGTATGGTAAAGGGTCACTGCTATTTTTATTGGACAAAGGGTCTCTACAGAGAAGATTAACCTCAGAATATGCTAATAGACCCAGTTGCAACCACATGTCTTTTCATAACATAGCACAGTAGATAGGGAAAGTAGGAAGCAACATGACCAGAGGGGGAAAGCTGTGAGTGCTATGGCCGCAGGCCAAGGACTACCTGGAACCACCAAGCTCTTCCTGAAGCTGGAAGAGACAATGACTGGATTCGCCCCTAGAGCCTTCAAAGGGAGTACTCTCCTGCTGATGCCTTGGTTTCTGAGTTTCATCTTTCAAAACTGTGAGATAATAAATTTCTCTTTTTCAGCAACCAAGTGTGTGGTACTTTTTATGGCATCCAAAGAAAGTAAGGTTCTCTGTGCTTTGGTTCTCTGGTGCTGCTATAATGGATATACCACAAATGTGTGGCATTAACAAACAGGGATTGGTCCTCTTACATTTTAGGAAGCTAGATGTCCAAGTTCAAAGTGTCAGCTCTAGGGGTTGGGTGAAAGCCCCTCAACTTTGAGCTTCAGCTATGCATCTTGCTCTTGGTCCACTGGAGCTGGAGGCTTCTCTTAACTCAGGTAGTTGCTGATTATTGAGGTTTTGACAAACTCAAGGTCAACAAGTAAAATGGCACAGTCCCAACATTATTAAGTAGCATGGCAGACCACTAGTTCAAGTCCAGAAACAGTCCCAAGATGAGCAGACAACATGGCAGACTGCAGAATAAAGACTCAGCTAAATGCAAGATCCAGTTGTGCCAAAAAATCCAGAGACCTTTCTCAAACTTCTTCCTTATACACTGGAAGCAGACCACATCCTTAAAGCAGCTATTCAGCTACTCACAGCAGATTCCACCGTGGAGTTCATTAAGATCATTGAGATGAGCTGCCCAGCCAATCAAAACCAGGCCCAGCCAAGTTGACACACAACCTTAACTACCACATTCTCCCATCACCAACAAGAAAAGAATCATAGGCTTCTTCTTAATCTTATTCCCAGTGTGGGGAAAATGATTA